GCCCTGTGCCCTGTAATGGACTGGCATCCCATCCTGCATGTTCCTCAGTCTTGTGCCCTGTAATGGACTGGCATCCGATCCTGCATGTGTCCCAGCCTTGTGCCCAGTAATAGACTGGCATCCCATCCTGCATGTGCCTCAGTCTTGTGCCCTGTAATGGACTGGCATCCCGTCTAGCATCTGCCCTTGCCCTGTGCCCTGTAATAGACTGGCATCCCATCCTGCATGTGCCCCAGCCCTGTGCCCTGTAATAGACTGGCATCCCATCCTGCATGTGCCCCAGCCTTGTGCCCTGTAATGGACTGGCATCCCGTCTAGCATCTGCCCTTGCCCTGTGCCCAGTAATAGACTGGCACCTAGGGCAGTATATTCCCTTGCCATATGTCATCTGTAATTGTCTTCAGGCCATACCCATACCCAGAACAGGGCAAGCAGTTAGAAGATGGACAAACGGAACCTTACAATTGCCTTTTGGCACCTGAAGAGTTCTAAGTTTGATAACCCCTCCCTCCCACCCCCCCATGTGTATGTGGTGTGAGTGCTTGCCCCAGGATCACACATCATCTCCACCATGTCCCTCAACATGACCCTGTACTGGATAAACATTTGGAAGATGGGTAATCATACGTTTCAATTTTTTATTAATATTCTACCTATGCCACAGTGATAAGTTAATTTGCATTTTATTACCTTTAATTACTTTTGTTTCCAGCATGAGTGTTTCCACACATTGCACTACATCTACACCTCTGGCTAGGCCGCCTTTACGCTGGGCTGCTCTGGTGCAGACCGCAGCAGTCCAGCACGAAGGCTCTCTTGGACAATTTCATGCAAATCAGGAACCAGGAAAAGGAGCAGACATACGAGGACGCAGAACCTTACTAGAGTGTGAATTAACAGTCTAATAACACACTTAATTAGCCATTAACACTGTGTATCTGCTGTATTGATCGTCTTCAGGGTATAATTATTATCCATGCATTAGGAAGTTCATCTTTATCATTACTTAGGAAACCTGTAAGATGACACATAGCAGCAGTAATAACTGAGTCACCCCACCCGAGTTTAAAATTGCATTGTTTGGCATATTGTTGTTTTTCTTAATCTTTTGTTTGTCTTTAATTTTTGTTACTCTTTAATTAAAAAAAAAAAGAAATCTATCATTGTTTTTTAATATTGTTTTTTTTCCATGCTTGCTTTGTTATCGGTCATGCTGATGGTGTTTAGTTTCTAACAGTTATTGCTTGTCTGCTGAACAAAGGACTTTGAGGTTTAATTTCATGGGGGTGGCGAAGGTCTCATTTAGTGTTATGTAGATGATGTGTAAAGGTCTCATTTAGTGTTATGTAGATGATGTGTAAAGGTCTCATTTAGTGTTATGTAGATGATGTGTAAAGGTCTCATTTAGTGTTATGTAGATGATGTGTGAAGGTCTCATTTAGTGTTATGTAGATGATGTGCACCTTCATGTAAGTACTAGCAGATTTATTTGGCTTGCATCAATTTTAAAGATACTTTGAAGTTACTCAGAAACCATACTGTTTTTGATATCAGTTTTAAAAGATGAAAAACAAAAAAATCTTTGTTCATTGTAGATCAAACTAAAATTGAATGTTTTACCAATGGCACAAAATATACAGTAAATTATATACCAAAGATACAGAATTATAATCTAAACCAATCAACTTCCTAAATGTTTTCTGAAAGAAAAAAGCTTGTTTTTTCTAACTCCGATGAGGCCTTGTCCAAGCTACTTTTAATAGGCTTTAAAAATGCAAAACTGCATTACAGTTTCTCTGCAGTCACATTGTCCAGGTACATATAATAGTTTTCCCTGAATATTAATAAACTTAAAATACAGTCCTCCCCTTAAAGGCCGTCTCTAAGTGTCCCTTGTGAACCTTAATGACACAGTTGGCACAGATATTGGTTAAACGCTATTTATTGCTAGCAGATCTACATCTGTGAAAACTAGCTGCGGGAGCTCTACTGATTATCATTGGTTGTTATATTTTTATAGTCATATTTATAATGTGCTCAGAAAATGAAGAACTTTTTCCCAGCATTGTGTAAAAACTGTATATATCGATACAAAATGTTATTCGATTGTATGTATTTTATTTAACGGCGATCTGCTGTGTTATTGTGAGGGAATGACCCACTGACTGGTTCAGTTTCTGCGATAAGAGGAAAACCTTTGTTTTTTCGTGGGTCAGGCACTTAGAAGAGAACGATTTAATGAGATCTTTTGCAGGAAAAACCAAAACATAAAATGGGCTGAAGGTTACTATTTAAAGGCATCAAATAAAAAAAATGTATAAACCAAACAAGGGGAATACCAAGATCAGTAACCCCCCCCTCCCTCCAGCATAGGCAGCCGTACCTCTCACCAGGCTTTCCAAGGCCCCCAATACTGCTTTGTCCCATCGACACAGCTGACCCTATAAAAGCTCTAACCAGG